GAGGTAATTCAGTCAGCTATATGCATGTATTGTTTTCTGCTATAGCGAGATCATTTATTTTATTTAGAAAATAGAACATGAAGTGTGATTACAAGAATCTACTACTGTTAGCATGAACGGGCTTTGTAATGTACCTACTGAACAATAGCATAATTGAATCCTTCCTAAGCAGCGTCCGTCAAGCGAGACTTCACATGCCTGGTTTTACTTTACGAAGAGTAGTATGTGGTGCTCCAATATTCAACTATGTTCTTGAATTAGGAATTATGTTTTTTATAGTTAAAGTGCTTGTCTATTGGTCTGGTGTATATAAGTGAAAGAAAACAAAAACAGATGGGGGATGGGAGCTTCTTGCTTTTGTTTTCCTTTTGTTTCTATTTGATAATTACTCTCTACTCTGATGCTTCAGTGTTTTTTTAATATCCCGTGTTATATTTTTTTGGTGCTACTTGGGCTTTCTGAGGTCCTTTTTGTTTTCGTTAAGAACAAAATAGAGTTACTTAATTTTAAATTTGAATGTTAGACACAGAGCTATGAGTCAATGTACTGGTTTGACAAGTTGTATTGTCATATTCACATGTGCTTTGGAAATTAAAAAGAATTACTTTGTTTTTGGTTTGAATGTCAAGCAAAAATAGAATGGGGGAAGGGAGCTCGCAATACAGATTCTAATTGTTACTTAGTGTTCTGATCCTTGTGTCTGCTCTTGTAATAATCTTGTGTGGGTGCCTTCACATGTAATCTATTGCCTCTCTGACATGTTTTGCTACAAAATTATGTCTCGACCATATGTATTTACATTACTGCTGTCAGCTTCTGATATTTAAATTATGATAGGACAATGCCTCTCTAGCTGTAACTGTGATACTCCTGATGTGCAAGTAAACACTACTAGGATAACTAAAAAAATCATGAAAATGCGAGCAATTCTCGATTTAAATAGTGTGACCTTACATAATAGGAGCTAATCATTGTGTCGTGTTCAAAATGGGTACTAGAAAAGATAATTGAATAGCAAGTCCTGTAGAGTTACTACCATAAAGTTTATTTCTAACTGCATGATCTGAACTGCACATTCTGAAAGTATATTTCACTCCTGCCCTTGGGAAATTAGACTGCCATGGCAATACTTTTGTAGATAAATGACATTCGAACTTGATGGTTCAGTTTAAAGCTGCAGGCAGAGGTTTGCGGTAGGAAGGAAATCATTATGCCAGTTGAAAACCAAGTCGTTTATTTGTGGGTGCATGATCTAGACTGTGCTTCTCTGAAAGTATGCTCTTGGGAGATTTAGCTATTGTGGTTTTGCTTGGTAAACGGCTTGGTTGTTAAACAAATGACATGCTAAAACGTTGGTTGTTAGAGCCTCCCTGTTCTTCTAAAAAAAGTTTGGTTGTTAGTACAGAGGTGGTGACACTATTTGGTCCTCTGGTATTGATTCATGATTTGTGCTTAATACATGATGTTGGTATCTGATCACTTTATTGCTCATGCCTCACTTGATGTTGCATGGTGTACAGGCGAAGTGCCAATAGAGTGACATATCGTACTTTGCTACTACCTACATGCGATTCCATTTGATTTCACTTTGATTTTTTTTCTCTGCTGATCGTTTCTAGGTGGTTGTTGATGAATCATGTGAGGATGGTGCAGAACTCACAAGAGGGAAAAGACCGAACTGCGGTAACCAAATCAAATAGCTGATAAGGTACAAATTTCTGAAAATATATGGTTTGCCCTAAACAAGCATATACATCATAGTAGAAAGGGGAATTACATCTCTATTTTATGTTATATTTTCTGCTTTCTATCTTGTTCATGGACTCTCTGTAAGTGCGCCGTTCTATTAGCAACCTTAGTGCCAATGACTCAACAGTCAGCTATCAACCAGAATAGTAGGGCGTTGAGCTTGTTTAAACTGTAGAGTACACATGCATATACTGTTACTCAGACATCAAGAAAACAGGAGATAAACATGTATGATGATCTACCATGTTATTACTCGGGTGTTGATTAGCAAGTAGACATAGGTTTAGCAGAGAAGAAGTTTCAGTGATTTATTAGTTTAGGCTATGGAAGTAAACATGAGGCATTGAAGCTAATTTGAATTAGGCGTGATGAATCAAACATTTTTGTAGTTGCCATTAGTGGGTCAACAGGGTAGGCATTTTCATGAGACAATATTGATTTTAATGATGGCTAATAATTACACTACTGCCTTTGTTTGAAAAGTAAAACTTTGCTATCTATGACCTTGCCTCTAGGAAAAAATCATCAGCTCAAAACTGAAATACTCCGGATTTACTTGCTATCTTTTAGAGGTAATACTGTGTTGTTTGTGAAGGTTCACTTGGAAGTGGTTGAGGTAGCCTGACCTGGTGAGGATCCAGCTAACGAACTGACCTGGTGACGCGATGCGTACATTGGAGGAATTAGATCTTGTGCGTGCAGGAGTGGATCTTGCAATTGAAGACGTCTCTCCGATGCAGAGGAGCAGCGGCGATGCGGTGGAAACTACAGGGTGAGTGAGAGATTGGAGAAGGAGGGGATGGTCATGAAGTGAGTAAGTGGATTAACATCGCCTAGTCAAGTAACTTGGGCTGGCCCATTATTTTGAATTTGTCATTTGTCTCTTGTAAGCCCACAACACGGTTTAAATATGTATTGGGAGTTTGGGACAATTAAATCAGATAAATGAAAGAAATTATAGCGCTTATAACGGTTTATAAAATGAAGTAACAAAGTGCATATCCAAGTTTAGTACATTTTAGAATGTGGTTGTTTGTTGTTATTCATTGTTAGGCTTGGCATTTGAATCTTTGTTAGATCGGAAGTGCCTTTGATAGCATGGAATATTTGTATAACGCACTGTGGAGGCATGGTCTTTCTCAGGATAACTAACAAGGATGATCGGCAAGTGTTTGTTTGCCAAAGTTATGGCGGTTTGAAAAAAAGTTGTTGGTGCATTGCTGTCGATCTCAAGATGTCTATGTGTTTATATTTTGCATAATCACTCTGAGGGTCATGATTTATAGTTTCTCTAAAATTTGCTCTTGAAGAATCATGTATCTATGTTAGATCCGGTGAGAAAAGGCGGCTTCCAAGCAGAGGATGCGGGAGTGTTGGCCACATTTGGTTTTCAACTTGGGTGTCTAAATATTCTCACAATACTTGGCTCCCTCTCGCCCCTTGCGCCATTGGCGCAACGAGTCATCTAGTTGTTTTAAAGGATCAAACCAAACCCGTGGAGGCGCCGCTGTCGCCTCATACTGCGCCATGTGGCTCCAGAAAGGCACCATCGCGTCCATGGGCAACATCAAGTGAGCCGAGCGACAATCATCTCCTCGTATAACGTGAGAAGTGGAGGAGGTGATGAGGGAAGGAAAGGCATAGTGCAAGTGTCATGGTGGCGGAGGGGCGCCATGGGAAGGGAGAAGATAGAATAAAGTGCAAGGAAAGGGAAGTGCATCACGAAGTGAACGATGCCACCCCCTCCGTGTTCCTCTCTTATATAGGGATGCTCGCAATGGCCTGGTGGTTAATGACAATGCTTTTTGAAGATGTCCTTGAGTTTATTCGAGACTTGAGCAAAATTCAGATCGAAGAAGAATATGGTCCCTGGGTTCCCTTTACTGAAACTATGTTCCTTTTCATTTTTCTTTCAAATTGGCCGGGTGCTCTTTTATCTTGGAAATTCACATCAGTACACATTTAGTGAATACTACATCACAGTACACACCACGAGCTTTCAGCGGGCATTAATCCAAAATACTGCATTTGTTTCTAAATATAAGACATCTTGTTTGTTCAAAGAAGTATTATATTTAAAAACAAAGGTGTACAGATCCACGGTGAATTTAATTAATTAACAATGGGGCTCACTGTCACCCGTTGCTGCAAGGTCCAGTATGGACCTCCATGAGACTCCACTACTGATTCCTTTTTTTTGAAAGGGAGGTTAAAATTCTCAGGCCTCTACATCAATTAATGCATACGATCATCTTCATTTATTACTCAACAAGGTCTAACAAAAACATATATCAAGCCATCCGAAGCCATCACTCATACTTACAAAACTTGATAATGTCAAGTGCTCTCACTCTCATATCTAAATCCGGTGTCGTTGTTGATCCATCCAAATAATGTATCGAAATGAATAGCCGATGCATCAGACCTAAAGCGTACACCACATATACACGTTTTAAAAGCTGTCAGTATCATCAGACCGTTGACTCATCTTTAGGAGAGAGATCTCCATCATCCTTGTCAGTCCGTCCATCCATCGACACCATCACGGCGCCCAACGGCGCCACCGCCCTGCGCTCGTCCATCCAGAGACGAAGATTTTAAAGGATCTGTCGTGCGTAGCACCCGCCGGACAGGCATGACTTGACATCTCCACCGAAACTCAGTGCAAGACGAAGCCGCTCCACCTCCTGCCTCTGTCTTTCAGCACTGCTCCACAAACGATGCTCCCAAGAGAGAAACAACATCGCAGTACCGCCATCGTCCGATGTGGAAGACTAGATCCTAGGGTTTCCCCTGAAGCAGCACGAGTGGGTCGACAGAAGTTACACGACGATGCATTCATCAAGGTAGCGGCGGAGAACGTCGCCATCGACTGCCATCGGCTCGGTTTTCACCGGCAACTCTGTCTTCCACCGCTGATAAATGAAACAACATTCTAAACTATATAGATAAACGAAACAACATTCTAAACTATATAGTTCCTCCTCCGATGGTCATGGCCTCCTGAGTAAGTCGAGCCATCAACCGGATGTTTCAGGAACTCGCTGCAGCCGTAGCATCGTGTGAAGTCAAACCCTTTCCTACAGCCACGTCTAGGATCATGACAGTAGTAATAATAACCACCTGCATAACAAAATAGTAAGAGGCAGTTTAGTGCCAAAATATATAGCAACAAACTGGCGAATAGGGAATAAACACACAGCCAATAAATCATTGATCTGAATAATATTCTGAAGATTCGGCAGGTTTACCTTCACATAATGAATCCAGGGGAACGCAACAGCGTACTTCCAAGATCTCTTTACCACCCTGTCCACAGTCCTCTATCTCCGCGAAAAAGAGTTTCTTCTTATCCTTACGCTTGGCGATGAAATTTAGATGCGTAAAAATACGACTGCTCTCGTAAAAGAGTCTAGAAAGCAATGTCTCACACAACTCAAACTTCACCTGCAATTTGGCACAGAGAGAGGAGAAGAAAATAAAAAAAATCAGGTTTGGAAAATTGTGCAGCTATATATTGAGCATTGTCACAGTAATGTGGTGCACGTAATTGGTGATTGCACTTGCAAACTTGCACAAAACGGGACTTAATAAGATAATCAAACACAACTCTAAGGGAACAAAATATCCAGTACAAAGAAGCACCACTAGAAGAACCAAAACTGGACACAATAAAATGAAATGCCTATTATATACTGCTAGAAATTCGTAACAAACTATGCAATGGAGTTGGCTGCTAATTCTTCTAACTGGATTAACAAGAATTATTATCAGTAGCCACTACAGAATGCTAGAAGTGGAATAGGGAATTTCTGTAATCTTCAAAAGGTTCCCTAAGTTAAAGTGAAACACTCATAAATTACACTTCAAGTATTTTGAAACATGCAGTTCGTGCCGCTCATGGTACTAGCTAGTGATCCTAATTTAATATTTTCAAGACTCGCTTGGTTGGGAGAGTTGATGTACAAATCCAAAATCCAAAACCCAGGTTCAGGTCCTCATGGATGCGAGCTTAGATTTCTATTTATACTATCAAGAAACAAAATCCGGTATTCTTCTAAGACTACATACCGGCACGCAACAGAACACCGACTTGCATACAATTTATAAGCAGAAACCAAATAGCAAATGGAAGATAGGAAAATGGCTGCTATACCTTTCTCCTCTTGTTGAAACTCGCTAAAGCCAGTTCTGATAAATAAGTTTGCTCCTTAGTTATCTCTTGCTTCATTATCTTCGCTGCCATTTCTTCTGCTGTAACATGCTTGCAACTACAATGATAGAAACATATTATTAGAGCATTAAGCAGACAAATAAGGAATTTCTGATTACAGTACATGAAAATATACACCAGTGGATTAAGATCTCACTTCCTTGCTTAGAGTTTCAGTGACAAAAGGGAATGAAGTTCAAACAAAAGAGATAGAAAAGTAAAAGCAAAATCAGCTGGTGAACAACCTTATTATTTAGCCTTTGCACAAACACTCAA